AAGACATTGCAGGTCCCCATGAGACCAGCATGTTGCCTGGGGATGCCCCAAGGTGGCATTTGGAGTGCTCAGCAGAGATGCTGCTCCTCCAGCACCCCTGTTGGTCCCGCAGCATCCAGACTGGGCCCAGTGCCACCTGGCTGGCTGGGGTCTCTGGTCACCTCATGGCCAGACAGTTCCTGGCCCACAGCTTGTTGCCAGAGCAAAGGGTTTTGTATGGTCTCTGCCCACAGAGCTCTGCTGCCCATGGGCAGGAGGTTGGGCACACGGGAGCTGAAGGGATTAACCCTGTTTTATGACCAGAGGGGTCGATTCGTAATGCCGCATCATTGTATTTTATTTCCACACACGTATTCTCTTGCTATAAACCTTTGTGTTATACATCTTGGTCTTTATTCTATAATACGCTCACCATCCTGCAAATTAAGAAACATAGAGGTGCACAGCGCCGACAGTCTTTTTTTGTTTGAAAATTGGGTTCTTAATTTCATCTGAGGCCAAAAGAAAATTGCTTTATCACAGATTGCCATGTAAAATAAGTAACGATCGTGTTCTCCTTAACCCTGGTGTACTCAGGCAAATAATTCACAGGCTACTTTTGGAAGCTATATACTTACTTTCAGCACATTTGATAATTTAACTTAAATTTTCTACATGTTATGAGTCTGTTTTCAGCTCTCCTGAGGCAGATGTGATGACTGCTGGGTGGTCAGTGTGGGATCTAGGTGTAAACCCAATGCAGGACGGGGTGAGATCAGAGCTGATGCTCCTCAACTGGTAAGTTCAGGCCACAAGCTCACGGTCTCCCCGTGTTTCCTGCTGAGATGCTGGATCCCACCAGTGACCAACCACCAGCTGAAACGTGGAGGTGCAGAAGAGGAAAATTGTACGTAGTTTGGACAAGTCTGAAACCTCAAGATGCAAGTGAAAATGTTTGAGTTTAGTGCATTAAATGAGGAATGGCAAGTCTGGGAGACGTTAATAAAAAATTACATCTTTCTAGGTATTTAAAGTACTGTCGCAGAAGTGCTACATGTGGTGCCATGTCTCCTAAAGGTGTGGGATTGTGTTGTTGAAGGTGGAGCAGCTCCTTGAATATTTATTAAAAACAGTGGCACTTTAATGGAAACCAGACACCCCAGCAAATTCTTAAAGTATGTTCTCAGTTTTCCTGTACTCAGTGGTATGACCACTAATTATTTTTTTAATATCTTTTTCCTACATATTTTATAACTTGCGCTTTAGCATAAAATTGGAAGCAAAATCCAATTGTGTAGGAAAATTAATTTCCTTGAATTGAAGAAGCAATCTACTTGAGACTTTTTAATCATTAGATGGTAACTGTGCACTAAAGAAAGGAAGACCATTAAAGTAACTTAATAGACTAGGATAAACGTTTTCCCCTGTATCTTCTTCATCTTTATTTAGAGATTCATGCTGAGGATATTTCATAAAAGCTGTTCTTCTTGACCTTTTGTCACTTGCAGTATAGAGGAGCCAACAGAAGTAACAGCAAGGAACTAAAGCTGTGGGTTTATGGATACAAAACCAATAATTCTGCTAAACATCTCTGTTCATCCTTTTCTGCCAATTTCTGCTTTTCCTTTCTCATTAAAGAAAAAACAGCTATCGGGACAAATAAATGCATTGAGCCGAGCTGAGCTGTGTGATTTTTAAAAACAAACTGTGTTAATGCTTTTAATTAAGGGGCAGAGGAACAAGAGGCTTTATCAGCTCTTTGTCTGCAGGCCATAATTTCATTGTGGATGGGCTATCTATTATTGTAAATGTCCACCTTTTTGAAGGATTTACTACAAAATCAAATGGTGTTTTTATTTAAATTGCTGAGCACCGCATGATTCCTCATTTATTTAATATGGAGGCATTGTTACAAAGAAGAATGTAGCACTTAATTTGTATTGCTTGAGGGATCTCAGATCTGCTTGGGAGCACTGCTTTGCATGCTTCATGGTTATCGTTTGTTGAAAACAGAGTGTGCAGGAAAATGAAGAAGAAAATGTGAAGGTGAAGTTGCAAAATCCCCATCAGGCTGCTTCTATAAGCATTTTAGAAAGGATCAGTGACTCTGGTCTACAAAGAGAAGGAGTGTTGCAAAATAATGACAAAAAAAGCATTATTGTGTGGCAGTCTAGGGCAGAAGTGGACAGTTTGGGGAATTTCTTAGTCCTTTAAATTTGTTCTCTATGAAGCTGATAACAGCATGGCCAGCTCCTGGAACCAGTGGCTTTTCAAATGTTGTTGGTATCTGGAAAATAAGATTATTTTATTTGTACTAACTTAAAAGAAAAACAAACAAAAACCAAACAAACAAACAAAAAAAAAACATACACAAAAAACACTGAGTTTCAAATCCTTTTGGTCAAGAGGTTAGATTTTTGTTGTTAAATGACTGTGGCATGCCCTCATGGTGGGAACATGGGGCTCTCCATCCCTACCGAGCCAGGCTTTGTGGCTGGCGCCCAGTCTCTGGTGTACAGCTCCTGTGTGTGGCTGTTGAGGGGTGTCTGTTTCAGAAAACCTTGCTCACCTCGTGGTGAGCTCCCAGAGATCCAAATGATGGAGTCAGAAATGCAGATGTATTTGGCTGAAAACTTTGTGCTTTTTTTTCCTGTCAGCGTGACTGGAGAAGTCAAAGGTCCCCGTGTCCACCACATCTATTCCCCATGGAGGGGACAGGCTGGGTTGTTCCTGCTCAGTGTAAAACCACAGACACTTAGCTTCTATTTAATTCCAGCAGGTAATATAGGATAATGGAGCTATTACATTTGGCATCTCTAACGTGGTTATCATTTCAGAAAGAATTGTTTCTGCTAATGGCAGTTAACTTGCTACAAATAAAGCAATAGAATTGAAATCTTAAGTACTAGAGTGGCAGCAAACCATGAAACATTACACCGCGTATTGGAGGGAGGGCCGAGCGGGCTGTCAGGGAAGAAATCTATTGAAAAAAAAAACAACTCTCAGATGGGTTCTGATGCTAACTAATTTAATATGGCAACAGCATTTAGGTGTTCTACCAGTCTATTAAAAGTATTAAAATGCCTATAAATAATAATACTTAAGTGGCTAGAACTTTTCGTCCAAGGAGCTCTGGGGTTTCACAGGGACAAGCATGGCTGGCTGTTGGCGGAGCTGTGGCGATGCCCCTATGGGGATATTGTGTGCTGTGGCCATCCGTGTGCCACAGGGTCCCCCAAAGGCTGCTCTGGGAGGTACAGACATGTTGGGCAGCGTGGGTCTGATCCTCGCCATCTGTAACCCACATCTGGGTGAGTCTGAGTGTGCTTTCCTCCTCTGTAGTCTCTAATCGCTTGGTTCAGCCCTGAGTGTGCCCCACGGTGTGGACAACCCATGAACTGTGCTTTGTGCCAGGAATTTGAGGCTGTCATTAAAATATGCCATCCCATTGCCATATTTCTACCTCAGAATCCAATTTCCTGCAGAAGGCACATGTTTCTAAGTAGCCTGAGATTCCTAGAGACGCGGGCTACCATTTGTGTTAAGTCCTGGAAGTGTTCCCCAGGTAGCACAAGGTGGGCGTCCTCAGGAGAGGAGCTGCAGAGATGATGGCCCTCCTGTCCCGCATGGGGCTCCCCCTGCTCTGGAGCAGCATCACTTTGTTTGCTCAGGGTTGGCAGGAGGATCCTGAGAAAACAGCGGTACCTTGGTGTGGCTCACCTGCAAAATTCATCATCTCCTCCCTGCTGATCCCTTCAAGTGGATCTTTGTTTTTTATCCTGACAGCATGGATTCAAATGAAAGCAGGTTAAAGGGGCAAATGGTTTTTATATTTCTATTTTAGTACAGAAAATATCCCAGGGGGTAAACTCTCCACATACCATAACCACAACAGATTAGTGTATCCCCAGGCAGCAAGGGCATAATGATACGGTTTTGTTCAGTGCCATGCTCTGTAGCAAAGCATAATTTTATGGAGAGGGTCACAAGTGTTTAACCGCTCACAAAATACCCCAAACATGATCTCAGCTTGTGGAAATCAGAACAGCATCCTCATCTCTGGGAAACTGTATCAGATAGAGATCTGATGAGCGCTTTGCAAGGTAACGAGGGAGGGACGGTGTGTGTGCATGTGACAGCAGGGGTGGTCAGTAAACACAGCCATCTACTGTGTCCTTGAAAATGCATAGTTATTATAAATTAACCCTTGACACTGAGTTTTTTCTCAATCTTTCTGCTTATTACACTGATGTTGTCAGTACTGGTAGTACTGCTCTCATTTTCCTGTTATTTTCCTTGGCTGGACTTGCTTGGCTTGCTTTCCTTACCTTGCTTGGGCTGCTCCTGCAGAGGTAGGGCTGAGCAGCACTGTTAGGTGGGGGGCATGATGGTTCCCAGGGTAAACATGAAAACTTCCTCACCCTAATGTAGAGCACCGTAGATAGCAGTGGAACTGGGCAAAAGACGCAGCAATGATTCTGTAAACAGTTGTCCGCAGTTTTTGAAGAATTTGCTTCTGCGTCACTCTTGTTGATAGCTGGTGGCAACTCCTTCATGATACGTTATAAAGATCTGAGGTAGAAACTTCTTTTCACAAATACTAGTGTCCATGCCAAAGTCGACTGTGTTACTAGACATGCTAGAAGAAAGTATGAGGAAGGAAATACCAATATTTTATTTCCTTCACATATGGCAAGTGGAAACCCAAAGAAGTTGTGCCCTTGCTCACAGACATAGCAAGATGTTTGTGACAGAGCCAAGACCGGAAGGCTTTTCAGTAATTTAATCCTAGAAAAACTCTTTTTCCACTCTATACGTGTTGAAGCAAACTTGCATTTTGGACAATTTCATTGCAGTGGTGAGATAATGTCTCCAAATGCACAGAGCTCACTCATTGCTGCAGAGTCCCTGCAATAACTGATGTTGGGGACACGTGGAGCCAATGGGAGCTTTGCAGAAATCAACGCTTGATCCACTAAAAATTAATCTGTTCCATTTCTGTTGTTTTTCTCTTCATACAGAACACCAGCGATGATTGGTTGCTCCTTTGTTGTGCACAGGAAGTTCTTTGGAGAGATTGGGCTCCTTGATCCTGGGATGGATGTGTACGGAGGGGAGAACATAGAGCTCGGCATCAAGGTAGGGAAAAAATGCACCCAGCATTATTTAAGGAATCAAAAGCAACGCTTTAACAAGTTAACATAAACAGTTGCTAGAATGCTTCAGGGGAACTGAGCGTTGTCTTGATTTATAGCATTTTAAATTTAAAGGGGAATATGATTTGGTTTTAGGGGTGAGTGCAATTTATTTTTTTTTCCTGGGATGCTTATCTGTGTGACTTCATGCTCAAAGCTACTGAGATGAAATGGCATGCTAACATAAACAGGCCCCAGTCAAGCTGTCACATTGGTTACTGTAAGTTATAGTTCTCTTAAATATCAGGAAAAAGATGGTGCTGTTTTGTCATGAGAACAGTCTTAGGGAGGCTTGTGGGACTCTTGTGACTATCTCAAGAAGACGTGATGCCTGAAAATATTTTACAGGCATTTCACAGCTGCAAATAAAATATGTTCATAAACAGGCAAAATGTGCTTTTAAAAGTGAAACATTAATAGCCACGTTTTCGGAGCTGTCTCAGTAAATCCACACAGACATTCGTTGTTACGGCATCTACTGTGACAACATCACTTGATTACTATGTACAGTATTAGATGTGGTTTAGCGATTTGAGTGTTTACATACAGTGAAGTGATTCATAAGCAGTGAATTGAATGTTCAGAAGCAACATGGGATGGCAAAGCCTATGGAGATTTTTCCAGGCATGGTTTAGAGTACAGCACTTGTACGTTAACAAGCTGATAGGGAGAGACTTGAGACTTATAGCTGGAAAATTGAATTGACTGTGGTGTTGTAAAAATGAAAAATCATTGTTCAGTTCACAGATTTACCAAAGGATATTTGCTTTGCTGGCAAATCAAAAGAAACTTTAAAAATCTATTGTTATTGGCTACAGGGAGCAATAATCTCATTTAAACAAGGGAATAGAAATTAAAGGCTTTAAATATGCCACATAGCTCTTCCCCTTATGAAGTAATTATTGTACATCATCATGCAGCTTGCTTCCTGGGTCTAGAGAGATCCAGCTCCAAACAAAGCTTCTCTTGTGACTATTCTTATTTGTTTGTCTATGGGATTTTTTTAATATCATCATTGTGGAACTAGCCTCCTCACAATTAATAATTCAACCCATCTGTTAGGTTTTGGGGGAATTTCATGGAAGATTGGCTTCTTAACTAGAAAAATAAGATGGATATCTCAGGGACAACTGATGAACATATGTCCTCTTCTTTTTCACATGCTGAACTTTTTAGAAGAAATATGTAATAAACATCCTTTTGGAAAAAGATAATCCCTCTCTTCCCCCAGTGACTCTTCCAGGCTTCCGTTTCCACCCCATATGTTTCACTGCTGTTTGCATACCCATGTGTTGTGTGTTCTGGTCAAGGCTTTAAAAACATTGCTGGTTTTGACAGCTGAAGTACCTAGGAAATCTACCTTGTAAGGTTGTTTAAACAGTAGATTTTCAAAGATTCCTGAGCTATACAAATCCATCTCAGTGCAAGTGTCTTATGTGGGCAACCGAGAGCTTTGTCCCATTTCATGTGCAGTAATATGTGATGGCCATTGTGTAGGTAGGTCAGGTAGCTCATGTGGAGGGAGCGTTCTGTAGATGGTGTGTTTATGATTGCCAGATATTTCAAGTTCCGCTTTACAGTAAGATTTCAGTTATAAATAGTTTACCCAAGGCTAGATGTTGCTTGTATAAGGAAAGAATCATTACAAATTCAAACAGATGTCAGGTCTCAGATGGATTTATCTGTTTCTAATAGTCCTGTTGTACACAAGCTGCCAGCCCTTCCTCACAAGCTTGCAACTTGCCATGGCTGGCTCTGTAGCAGCCATCTCACGTTACCAGTAACATGGGACTCTTTATATTCAGATGGAACCTTTAAAAATAATTATTCATGCAGTATTGAGGCTTTTTATGCTTTTCTGTTTGTTTGTTTTGGCTGTTAAATAGCTGGCTGTAGTTGAAAAAGCAGTTCGGTGGTTCCTAGTTTGTTTTAGTGATTCTTAGATGAAAATATTTACAGAAAATATTTATTTTCCTTTTGATGGTGATACGAATTCTATTCTGAGAATCATGGCATTTTAAAAACATAATATTCTTGTATTACAAAAAATGCTCAAAGAACAAAAAATGAGTTAATAAACCCGTTGAGGCTATGAGAACAAAATTGAAAAATTACAGCGTTTCAGGCAAAAACACAAGCCAACTGTATTACAGTAAAATTAAAGGTAAGTAATCTGAATAACAAACTGAAATAAATAACTGAGGAGGTTGGGCTGTCCTAACCTAGAGGGTGGCCCAGTCGTATGCTAAGCAAGACACTCATTTTATAAATATGCTTTGCATATTCTAAAATAAGCTGTATGTGTCTACATATGGTGAAATATATGGGCCATGTGCTTCTTTTGGTTGCCGATTTCAGTCAGCTCAATGAGAATATTTCTACGTGAGCCACTTAGAAAAACAAAACCCCATTACTCACATTCACAAGGTAGCTCGGGGATTGCTGCTCTCCCTTACGTGCCGGGGAGCATCCTTGGGTTGCTCAGATAATAATAATAAAAATAAAGCCATTAAGTGTGTTGTTGCCCTAGGCAAATTCTTGTTCTGCTCATGGGGTAGCTTTGGCCCTGACAAGGGGAACATGTTGTTCTTTGTATTATTGTATTTTCTTTTATCACACTGGAGTGTCTCCAGAAGGTTGTGCTTATTCTCCTTCTCTTGTCCCTGATGTCCACTACTTCACTTCCTGAGGCAGAATCGACTCTAATTCCCTTTTTCTTGGCAGAGAGCACAGAAGTGTTTGCTAAGCAAGGCAGTGTAGGTTAATATTTCAACTGAGAGATTTTCAATGCATTTTCTTTTTCTAAAGTGTGCCTTGCAATCAAATTATAACAGTGCTGGATCGGTCTTATTGCAGTGACAGCCACAAGGACCAAACGTTTGATCAGCCTGTTCCTGAGTTCATAACTCCCCAAGGCAAAGTGTTTGCGGAAATCTTGTCCTTGTGCCGAGCTGGTGACTGGGCACCGATGCTGGTACAGCTGCTGGAGCCTGGGTGTATGGAGATCGTATCTCATGGTAGTGCACTGGCTTTTAACTTTTTCAAATTTCAGTGTGGTAGGGACTTGGCACTTGGGACTGAGACTCCCAATTGCATTGGTGGAAGATACAACTCTTGCTTCCTGGTGCAAGGCATCTGTAGCTTTCATGCACTCTTACTTTTGTTCAGAAGGGGCTAAGAAACACAAACATCTCTTGAAAAATTGCCATGGCCCTGGTGACTAACCTGCTCTTGGTCTTGCCATAGAAGCACATTTTGCCCTGGCTCGCCGAGCTCCCACCACCTGTCCTGGGAGCACATGGGTACGGTGGACCTGTCCCCTGCTCCAGGCCCACCTCCCTTGTCTTGGGCTTAGAAATAACAGTCTGCTCTCCCTGAAAAAGCTTTCATCCACCTTTGTTAACCCATTGCTGCACTGAGCAGGTTTCTCTTCTGATTGTATGAATCCAGTACTCAATTCCCATGGCTTGAAAGTGCTGATGCTGCTCAGGGTCTCCACAACTCCATCTGTGAATTTTGGCACTTCTCTGACAGTTTCTGCATCTTTCATCAAAAGTTTTTATTTTATTTTAAACCCATTTGTGGCTCTGGCTTTTAGTGACTGTGTGACTAAGCGGGAAGACTGCTTTTGTGGCATGTCTGGCTTTTTCTCTGCACAGAGGGTTTCATGGATTTTCATGGCTGGTCACAGACATTTGCTAAAGATGCTCCGTAAAATTTCACGTGTCTATTTGAATAAAGATGCAAAAGGCTATTGCGTGACTGTTGCCGTGATTTCGAAGTCTGGGATGGGTTACAAGGTTGTTTTCAGAGGATTTTGTGCTACTGTCATGCATTGCTAATTAAACTCATTTGAGTTGTCTTTTAGAGATTAATTTAATCAATAAGGATATTATTACTCCTTTGATGGTATCATTTGTACGAATTGTCACTTGAAGAAAGCAATTAACTGAGAATGCTTATTAGCTGATCCATCCCACACCTTATTTGTGTAGTAAGAATCGATTATTGAATTCATTAAGAAAAGCACAGTTCAGGGATCCCTTTGAGGTTTAATGACTGACTCAAGCCATGTTTTATTATGAATGTTAAATTGTCTGAAGTTTGGGTTGGGTCTTTAAAAACTGTTCTAGAGGAAAAGAACAGTGCGCCCCCTTGTATCCCAGATTTTTTTTTCCCCCAAAATTTGTCATCTACCTTCATCACGCCATTCTCCTTGTGCCACCAAGCCAACAGTTGCATCTGTAGAGCAGGCAGAGTTTCAAACGTGTAGAGCTGTAAGGGCTGGAAATATTGAGCTTGGAGAAGTAAATGGGAGCAGTGAGGGCACTGAGCATTTTGTTGTTATTGATGATTTCTTTAATAATCAGACTTTCATCCTGCAGCTGCTCAGGCACGTAAGTAACCTCATTGCACTGGCAGTGACATTGATCCTCTCCCAGAGGGTACCGTGCCTGTGCACCCTTTGGTCTTTCAGAAACCCTTAAAATAGATGAAATAACATTTTAATGCTACAAATCTCTTGTGTGCATTTCATCTATGAAGGAGCCCATTTTGTTTATACAAGTACAATTATTCATATGCTGAAATGTTGAGAGGGTCAGGCCCTCAGATGAAAAAAAGAAAAAAGAAAAGCCACCAAATAGTTATATGTAGACTGCACAAGGGAGCTTGACTCTTTTTGCATTTAGAAAATCAAATCCTTCTTTTCCTGCATACATTTTCCATAATATTATGTTACATCTTTTTGTTATGAAGAATGAAGGTAGGATATTAAGAACAAATATTTCTTCTGGCATCCATGGCTTTGCAGGGTCCGGGATGACGTGTGGAGGAAGGGCAACCTGTACCCAGCCCTATGGGAGGCAGGAAGATCCCCCATGGGATGGCGGGTGGGAGCAGAGGAGGGATGTCAAGGCAGGGCTCTGAGTCAGGAGAAAGCAG